AAGCAGGCTCCCCGCTGAGCAGGGAGCCCGATGCGGGGCTCGATCCCAGGACCCTGAGACCATGACCTGAGCCGAAGGCAGATGCTTAATGACTGTGCCACCCAGGCGCCCCTCCCCTTCTGGTTATTTTTAAAAACCTTGTATTTGGAAATAATTACAGATTCACACACAGTTACAGTCCTGATCATCTTTGAATCTTCTATTCCCGCTGGCTCACTCTTGTGGTTCCATCCTTTCTTTCCACATTTCTGTTATTCTCCATGATCTGTCTGACCCTGTCAATTTCAGAAGTTCCTACAGGTTTCAGCCTGTTGTTTCTGTTGATGCTTCATTTCCTTATGTTTGGCGATCTTTGTGAAGTGTTTTGGGTTGATCTTAACTTATGGATGGGCTGGAGACCTAAACCGAGCTCACTTTTCTCTACAGGATTTGCTTTTGCTTCTACCAGGAGCACCACCACCCCAGCCTCTGCTCCTACCGAGGGTCTGAAGCTCAATCAAGGTGTCCCCCCTCTCACCTGGCATCACAGCGCTTGTTGCTCATGGTGGCTTGCTGGGCCCTTTAGAGACCTTGTCCCTCCCGGGAACCAGCCTGGGGAGGATTGAATTGCTATTTGCTTCTCCCTACCTTACTAGATTTGAGTTTTGAAGCAAGTGCATTAGCCTCACTCTGCCTCCTTTGCGAAATAAGATTAATCCCTACTTTTGCTGCTTTGTTATGGGGATTACAGATAATGACTGAAGGTTTGTTTTGTTTTGTTTTTTAAGTAGGCTCCAAGCCCAGCATGGAGCCCAACACAGGGCTTGAACTCACAGCCCTGAGATTAAGACCTGAACTGAGATCAAGAGTTGGACACTTAGGGGCGCCTGGGTGGCTCAGTCAGTGAAGCATCTGCCTTTGGCTCAGATCATGATCTCAGCTCCCTGCTCAGCGGAGAGTCTGCTTCTCTCTCTCCCCCTGCTGCTCCCCCTGCTTGTGTGCTCTCTCGCTCTCTCTCTCTGTCAAATAAATAAATCTTAAAAAAAAAAAAAAAGAGTTGGACACTTAACCAACTAAGCCACCCAGGCGCCCCGAGAATGACTGAAGTTTTGAGTGAGAGCTTGACGCCCATCTGCTCTAAGGGCCCAGCCTTCCTGTCCAGCAGCCACCTCCCATCCCTACCCCTATGAGGAAGCCAGAGGTCAAACACAACACAAATGCTTTACTGGTTACAAAACATGAAAACCCAGGCCCCATGGGACTCAAGTGATGCCAGGGAGGTGGAAAAGACAGAGCAGTTGGTGAGCCCCGGCCCGTGGGCAAGTGACAGGGTCTCGGGCCCTTGCTGCAGGCTCCGTTCAGCTGGGTTCCACTTGTGGCAAAAGGCTGCTCTTCTGCTTGCAGCCCAGGGTTGGGCCCTGCCTGAGGACCCCAGGCCTGTGGGAAGTGTGGGCAGAAGGAAGAGGTGGCTGATGGCCATCCCTGAGGAGGTGGTGAGCAGCTCCCAGGTTGGAGCAGGTGGGTGAATGCCAGGCCAAGGGCCTCACAGACCCCTACCCAAAGTTCTGGCCTGGCCACCTGCCCCCCTTCAAGTACCCTCCATCCTGATGCCAGCCCTGGAAGAGAATACCTGAAGGCAAGAAAAGAAGGAGGCCCCTGCCAAAATTTCTTCGTCCTTTCGTGGCCAAGTGGGAGGAGCAGCTGAAACCCTTCCTTCAACTGAAGAAGCTCAGAGCAGAGGGAATGCTCACCAACTAGGACAGGATACCCATTAGGGGTTATGCACAAATCTGTCTAAAAAAATGTATCTGACCTCAAAACATCAGTCCATCCCCCAGTTCAGCTGTGCCGGGCAAGAACCCAAGGGCAGCACTGAGAGCAGGCGCCTGGGGCTTGGGTTGGAGCTGCCTCTTTCCTGGGCCTGGCGGCCAGCCGCCCCCTTCCAAGAGGAAGCGAGGGCAGGATCTGGGTGGGGTGACGCCTATCTCCCGGGCTGCAGGTGGTTGTGGAGCTGCTCCGCCTGGATCTTCAGGCGCTGAAATTCTTCCTGAATGAAGTCAGTCAGAGCTTTGCGCATCTCCACCTGAGGGGAAGGACTGGGGCTGGCCTGCAGCCCTTGGGGAGCTTGGCCCAGGGGCCCTGGGAGGCTGAGGGTGCCGGGAAAGGCTAAGACAGCTACAGGGTAGCCCAGGGAAGGGGGGAAAAGAGTGGCGCGGGGGAGAAAGACAACTCACAGCCGACTTGTTCTCTGCCCGGAGCCGTTCGAGCACAGGCAGAGCACTGAAGGGCTTCCCGATCAGCACGGTGATTTTCTGTAGGGAGACCAGCCACCATCAGGTGACAGAAACAGGGAGAGTGCCCACAGCCATGGTCCAACCACCCCAGAGAGCCAGAAGCCAAGTCCTGCCCCTAATTTGCTGCGTGCTCCCTCATGGCCACGCTCCCTCTTTAAAACGAGGTGGTCAGGCTCAGTGACATTCAAGTCCTGCAGTCCATGCTCTAGATGTTCTGTTCTGCTCAAACCCCACGGCTCACCCCCACCCAGCCTGATTTCTTTTGCTCTCCTTCTACCGGCCTTGGTGCCAGGAAGTCCCTCTCTCTGTTCCACTCAGTCCCCCTGTTGCAGCTTCAAGCTCAGCTCCTCCTGAATCTGGCCTCAGTAGTGCTGAGTGGGGGACACAAGGCAGATGGCAGACAAGACAGACAGAGGAGGGTCAGCAGCTCCTACCCACCTGTCCAAAGCGGGGGAAGTAGGGCGGGCTGTTAGGAAGGACATCATTCATTCCTGCAGCACAATGGACAGAGGCCAGGAAGCAGGCATGGGGTGGAGCAGGGCAGCCTGGGAAAAGATGAAGCCCCAGCCCCCGCCACCCCAGGTGCCCTCTCCCTGCCACCCAGTGGAAACCCTCCCAAACCTAGGGAAGCCCCCCCCCGCCCTGCCCCCATCCCCAGGCTGCAGACTTGGCCCAAGAAGGATGCTCACCGACATGCCACAGTGGCAGAATGACGGGGTTGAGATGACACTCGGCAATGAGGCGTCCGATTCCTGCCCAGGGAGAGGCAGAAATGTTGGCACGAGCAGAGCTCCAGTGCCAGCCTATAGCAAAGCCAGCCCTGCCCGCTTCCAATTAAAACCAACTGCCCCGGTCCAGCTCCGCAAGGCAAGCCCTTGGTCGGCGCCTGCCTCCGTCCTGCTACACCCATCCCAGCCAGCCAGGCAGCAGTGCCTACCCCACTTAAAGCGTAGGAACTCAGAGCTCATGTTCACTTTCCCTGTTGAGAGAGAGGACAGAGGTAAGGCTCGGGAGCTGGGGGGTGTGCAACCCTGCCAACTCCACTGACCTTCTGGGAAGATGTGCACCCAGTCCCCGTGGTTGAGCTTTTCCAAAATGAAGTCCATTCCCTTCTGGTAGACGCCATCTCCTGCCGAGAAAAGGCCTGCACCATCAGTCCCCGTTCTCCCAGGGCTCCCTGCTTGCAACAGCTCAAGGACAACCTCATCCCCCACTGCACCGGCCACATGGACATCCTCCAATCACTGTCTCTGGGGACTCTGGCTGTACTGTGGCCCTCGACATCCTTTGTTCAATAATAACCTCTAAACCTCCAAGTACCCGTCATGTGCAAGGCAGCATCACTGTCTCCACCTGTCTCGAACTAAAATTCTGAACTGGCAATTCCTCCACCAGCCTCCAGCCCCACCTTCTGCCTGTCGGTCCCACCACCACCTCACCTGCTGAGCCATGGACACCTGCGGTACGCACCCTCGCAGACCCCTGGCTCTGCTCACCACTTTCCTTGCCCTCCCTTCCTCTTCAGCTCTTGGAGCCTTCTTTCTCCTTGGGATGCAGATGCACCGCCCCTGGGGCGAGCCTACCATCTGCTGCCCCTGGCCCAGAGGGCACTGCCTGGAGCAAACCACATCTATTCATGATTTCCAGCCCGCACCTGGGCCCCAGATCCTCGACAGCAGCCCTTTCCTGAGGTCTCAGCTAGGCCAGTCCCCACAGCCATTCCTCACAGGCCTCCCAGCCCTGCCTGAGCCCTCAGCCTCCACCATCCCTCCCTCCTGCTGACCGCTTCGCCCCTCATGGGGCTCCCCCTGAAACTAACTCTCATTATCTAAGCCTCTTGGGAAAGGGAGAACATTTGATGCAATACATGGTGTCCCTGAGAGTTGGGAAAAACTCAAACTTGCTAGGCTGAAAAAAGGGGGAATGAATTGCCCCCAAGGCTAACACTCACCTTGGAGACACCTGGAGGCCATGACACTGGACCCAGGTGGCCTGGCAGTTAGCAACAACACAGATACAGATGCCTAATGCTATGTGCTGGCTTTCAACTGGGAGTCCTGTGGAGACAATCTGTGACTACATGCAGTAAGAATCTCCTCAACCTTGTCCACATAGCGGACTGTGACAGACAGACTTATCAAGTAGGGGAGACCTATCATAAAGAGGAGGAGACAGACATTGGGACTATCTCAGGTCAGTGCACCAAGAAATGGACTTTTAACCTGTTCTCTGCAAGGCCGAGTGTTTAGAAGGTGCTAGTGAGGCATCCAGGAGTCTCAACCCAAGCCAAACCAATGGGGCCCTGGCCCAGCAGCTCCCTCAGGGGCTGCAGTTAAGGGAGCAAGCAGCAGTCACCACAGTTTCTCAGGGTATCATGAGAGCGGGGGCTTCCCTACTTGGGATAGCATTACCCGGTAGGAGGGGGGCTTCAGAGGGGTTGTCTCCAGCTCTGCTAAATCCTGCTAGTGCAACTGAGCCATCCGGCTTGAAATCAAAATTATACTAAATTACAATGCTCCTAATTCTTTGGGACACAGCAAAAGCAGTTCTTTTCTTTCTTTTTTTTTTTTTTTTAAGATTTTATTTATTTATTTATTTGAGAGAGAGAATGAGATAGAGAGAGAGAGCAGGAGAGGGGGAAGGGTCAGAGGGAGAAGCAGGCTCCCTGCTGAGCAGGGAGCCCGATGCGGGACTTGATCCAGGGACTCCAGGATCATGACCTGAGCCGAAGGCAGTCACTTAACCAACTGAGCCACCCAGGTGCCCCGAGCAGTTCTAAGAAGGAAATTTATAGTGATACAGGCCTACCTCAAGAAACATGAAAAATCTCAAATAAACAATCTAACCTCACACCTAAAAGAACTAGAAAAAGAACAAAGCCCGAAGGTAGCAGAAAGAAGGAAATAATAATTAGATCAGAGTGGAAATACATGAAATAGACTTAAAAAATCAATGAAACCAAGAGCTGGTTCTTTGAAAAGATAAACAAAATTGATAAACCTGTAGCTAAACTCATCAAGAAAAAGAGAGGACCCAAATAAAATCAGAAATGAAAGAGGAGAAAGAACTGATACCACAGATACACAAAGGATTATAAAAGAGTACCATGAAAAAGTATACAACAACAAACTGGACAACCTAAAAGAAATAGATACATGTTCAAAACAGAATCAGGAAGAAATAGAAAAGCTGAATAGGCTACTAGTAAATGATTATTTGAATCGGTAATCAAAAAACTCCCAACAAACAAAAGTCCAGGACCAGACGGATTCACAGGTGAATTCTGTCAAACATTTAAAGAAGAGTTAATACTTATTCTTCTCAAACTATTCCAAAAAATAGAAGAGGAAGGAAAGCTTCCAAATATATTCTATGAGGCCATCATTACCCTGATACCAAAAGTCAAAGACATTACAAAAAAGAGAACAAGACCAATATCCCCAATGAACACAGACGTAAAAACCCTCAACAAAATATTACCAAACTGAATTCAACAACACGTTAAAAGGATCATTCACCACAATTGAGTGGGATTTATTCAAGGGATGCAAGGATGGTTCAATACCTACAAATCAACCAATACTATAGACCCCATTAACAAAATGAAGGATAACAATCATACAATCATCTCAATAGATGCAGAAAAAGCATTTGACAAAATTCAACAACTGTTCATGATAAAAACTCCCAACAAAATGGGTTTAGAGAGAACATAACTCAACATAATAAAGGCCATATATGACAAACCACAGCTAACATCATGCTCAAAGGTGAAAAACAGAGATTTTCCTCTAAGACTAGGAACAAGATGAACAAGATTAGGAACAACGGTCCACTCTTGCCATTTTTATTCAACATCGTACTGGAAATCCTAGCCACAGCAATCAGACAAGAAAAAGAAATAAGAGGGGGGCGCGCCTGGGTGGCTCAGTTGGTTGGGCGACTGCCTTCGGCTCAGGTCATGATCCTGGAGTCCCGGGATCGAGTCCCACGTCAGGCTCCCTGCTCGGCGGGAAGTCTGCTTCTCCCTCT